AGGATGATACTTTAAGATGATAATAAGATTATGTCTGTTGTTTATAGTATGTTTTAATCTTGCAATCACGTAATTTGTATTTTGTTAATAAATAAACAGGTTAATAAACCTTTAATATAAATATTCAGTTACCTGTTTAAGTAGAATTTGTGTTATTTGAATTTAGTATGTGATTTCTGTTAGAAATAAAGTTAAATTCGCTTTAATCGTGTAATTTCTATGAAATACTTTTAGCAACTATCGACTAAATAAATTGTAAAACAATATACAGTACTGCGATGTAAAAACTATATAAAAACGATGTAAAACTATTCGTAGTATTGAAACTAATATAAATAAACAACTATTATGGTTTACTAGATTGTAACTACGATGATAACTATACTTTGATACCCCTTCATCGAGATCGCAATATCAATAATTATTTACGTCAATTTTTTTGTGTGCTGGTTCATTTGTTTTCTAGGAAACGATTAAAACATATAAACACAAGGTTTTTATGTAGATATAAACCATTTTGAAGTATTAAATTTATTTAAATCGGATGATAAAATTTTTTGAAAATTCGTTTTTATACAGTTATCGTGTCCAGACAAATATAATAATATAATGATTAATTGAAAGAAAATAAAATGTGTAATATTTATAGGATATTATTGATATTATTTATTTTATTTATGATCAGTTATTATAAGATTAATAATGGATGTTAACATTTAAAATCGTGTAATCAAGCAATCATGTAATACATTCAAAATTGTGATAAGAAAATCATAATTTTCATGGAAGAATTATTAAAAAAATTTCAAATAAATCAAGAAATAATTTTTATTTACTTGGTATAGAAATGTTATAATCTAAATTAATACTACTTAACACCATTATTGTAGGTAATATATGTATTTATGGTTACATAGAACCATATATTGACGGTTAAACTAATATTAGGAATTTTTTATTTGTATACTAACCATATTTATGATTATATTTCACAATTGAAATACTTTTAAACGTTGATAAAATAAAAACACTTAAATTACGAGTATAATATAGATAAATAGTTTTTCATTTGATAATTTCAATTTGTGAGCTTTATAAAATATTCTTATAAGGTAAAAAGTTGGAATGACTTAAACAATTTTTGTGCAGTAACAAAATAAACGACGGGAAAAAGTCAGAACAGGAAACAATAATATTTATTGTTATAGCTACGGAAAATACTGATAAAGATAACAGACACGCAGGGACACCAGAAAATTATGGCGGAAGTTATCTTTTTAAAAAAAGAGTCAACTTCAGTTAGTAAGAAGGGAAAAATGGGGATCATAGCAATTTGTATGTATAAAAAATATAGCAATTTTATTATAGACAAAAAAAATTGATTTAAATTATGTAGGTAAATAACGTTTTATAATCATTTGATGCTTACACAATTAAAATATATTATTATATAATACATTTACTCTTAAACATAATACTATATAAGTTTTGACGGTTTTTATTGATGCATATATTACAATACTATTGTTTAATATTTAATTCATATTCTTAATCAAAATTCTATAAATAATAATATTATAATATAAATTATAAATCTACTCATATAATCAAACTATTGATTTAACGAATCAATACAAATTAATTAATTTAAAACTATTAAATTTCAAACTAACAATATTATAATAATTTTTTTTTTAGTTTATAAATTTATAAAAGAGACTAAATTACACCGACCGAATAATGCTACATCATAAACATTGTATAAAAATCCATTATTTCTTTTGTTAAGAAATTATACGTTCAATTTATGTTTACCAAGCTTATACATATATATATTTTAATGTATTTTTAATATATCTTATTTTATCGCTATAGAAAAAATATTTAAAAATACCACTGAAAAATGAAATAAGGTTTTTCTTTTAGTTAAACTCAAAGTCTTTTTTAAACTTGTATTAATTTGGGACAAAATAGTTTTTCAATAAAGCAAAGAGATAATTTTCGAAAAGAAAATACCCTATTTTAAATATGATCCTTTGCAGGACGGCTGAAGGCGGTACAACGTAACTACGTCAGACTACCTCGTAATTACGTTTATAACACACTTTATCCAAAGCATTACGTCTTATTTATTACGTTCGAAAAATATGTATAATGTTATTAGGATAGATCGGAAACTTACCCAATCCGGTTAAACTTGCAGGTATCGCTGCAGATCGCACTACTATCTTTGTCATTTTTAATAATGTTCTTCTGTCGATTCTTATAGATCCTGTAAAAGGTTTGAATTGAATGACGAAAGAAATAAGTTTACTTCATATTTGACTGGTATATACGATGTATGTGGTATACAATATTGTTATATTATACTTTCTACCTTACCGAACGCCGATCAGTGAACGTGTTTACTAGGTTGCTTGAGTTTTATGTTCTAATGGGAGGTTTACTTTTTATCGTTTTTCTTGATGTGTCTACGAATAGGTTTAAGCTTACTTTATCCCAATCTTTTCACATTGCTTAGTCCATTTAAATCGATATTTTCGATGTTTTTGTTGCTAGTTTTTCTATTCTCGGCCTCTGCTTGAATTGTCAGCTGCTGGGTCAGCTTCTGGTTGACAAAACGATAGCAGTTGATGTTTTTGTAAAATGATCGTGATTTTATACCCATTATAATAACTGCTATGTATTCTTTTTATGTTTTTACGTTAAATTATCTTTTTATTTAAATAAAAACTTAATAATCAAAATTAATAATGAAAATAAATTTGCATTTAAAAGTTATATAGTTTAAAACTTAAAAATGTAAGAAATAAAATATGTTTTAATATTTTTTTATAAATGCGTAACTTTATTTTGATATTTGAAACTTAGAATCTACGCGGGTTTAAAAAAATCATTAAAATGTAATAATCATTATAACCAAAATTTAAATTAAAAGATACACTCTGACCATTGATATCGAAGACTTATGTTATATTGAATTTATACTAAAATAATGTACATTTTATATGTTGTCTCTGAATACGCCTTACTTAAAATTATGTACAACTAATAATATTATGTACATTATGTATTGTTATAATTATAAACATTCTTTCAAGAAATTTGTTATTGCAGTGTATGGAATGTTTTTAACAACAATTTTTCTATAACCACAATGATAATATCTGATGAATTATTTTTATCTTATTTTATAATTGGTTTAAACATAAAAAATTTAAATCTTATTTATTTTCTCGTCGACAACGGTTTTTCTTTTCCTATTCTATAGCAGTTACTGGATATATTTATAAAATGCCAGTCCCGAAGCAAAGTTTTGTTTCATGTTCGCGCATACATTTAGCTTATCTCTGATCCAGGGGATGGTCTTTAGGTTTCGCGCATAACCTATAAATCCGTTGGCCGTGATTTATTAGTCTTGATTTCTTATGAAAGTTAGGGCCTTCTTTTTGGAACTCTAGCGCGAGCGGTGAATGCTGAAAGAAAAGTTTTCGGATTTAGTGACGCCAGCGACTGTGAATTTAAATTGAATAAAATTATTATGAAATAATTCAAAAAGCTAATATGACGGCATGTGAAAGGGAAAAGTCTTACTCTTTATTACTAAAAAATAAAATATATACATATGTTCAGATGTAAGCATAAAAAAGTGACGTTTTAATTATAATATTTAAATAATTGTATTCTTTAAAAATGTCATAAAAAATATAAAATATGTTTGTGTAATAAAAACCAATTTAGTGTTATTGATTTTTGATGTATTCCATAAAAACAAATTAAAATATAAACATTCAATCACACATAACATTTACATACAAAATAATTTTATAATTTACTAATTGTTTGTATACACGTAAAATACGCATATACACAAATTGTCTACATTTTAATAATTATTCTAAAATATAAAATTATACCTATTAAAATATTTTAAGGAGATTACATTTTACCCATTACCATATATAGTTTTTTTAAGCACATAAAAATATTTAATACATGAATATATTTTATACTTAAAATATAAAATGAAATAAAATGTGTTTTTCGGCGTAACTCTATTACCGTAGCTTAAAAGGTAAATCGAATTCTGAGAAGTACATTTTACGATTTCTATACAATTTACTTAGTATAAATTTCTTATATTAACTTAATTTAATTGCTTAGGAAAATTATTTAACGTGTAGACCACGAATAATGTATTCAAGTACAATATAATTCAAACCAAATTAAAATCCATAGTTTTTTTTTTTTTATCTTTGGTGAACTTTGGCAACACTCAGCTTTTCATGTATAAAATTTATCCTTTGTGCATCGATAGCTGCAAAGTACTGGTAAAAAGGAGGAAAAATAACAATAAAATCAGCTGAAAAAAACAACAACCCTATATTTTTTCTTCTATCCGTCTCAACGTTTTATACTATAAGTGGAGTGTATCCCCATAGAAAGTTTGCTGCGAGTTAAAGGCCACTTAAGCTTTGTCACATGATCAAAGCTGTCTTTTTCAGATGATTTTGTACCATTCTGGATATAGTATCCTTTGAGAATATCCAATAAACTGTGTACAACGAATGTTAGGTTTTGATAAAGCAAGACTAGTCAATTAGCTTTCAGAGATTTCAGAATATTTGGTATCCCTTTATTTTCTATCCTTATATCATCCTCATTTTCATCTTAAAAATATCAATTTATCATTTATTGGTTATTTCAAATTAAGTCTTACGCGATATTAATATGATTATAATGATACATTGTAATACACCAGTGTCGTATTCACAATAATAAGGTATGAATATGAAAAAAATAATTTAAATTTTTATATAATCATTAACTATTTAATAATAATTAGGAAATTCATACAATTTTAAGCGTACATGAATCGATAAAATTATTTAAAAAAAAAAAATGTTTATAGAATTACAATGTTTGTAATGATATAATAACATGTTGCGTATGACAGATACTTAATATTATAGCTTCACGATTTCCTTGTTTATTTTCAGATGGGGAAACATTTTCACAGAACTTCCATATTAATAAAAGCGTTCAACCATAAATTTCGCCTCGACCTGGAGCTCAACACGTAAGTACACTCCATGTATCTTATTGTTGTTCATTTTTGGATTAAAATTTTCAATAACCGAATGTCTCCACGGAAAAGAATGATTGAAATTATTTTTTATATTCACGCCAAATGATTAAAAAGCACTTAATACGTGATTACGATTACAAGGTTTATTAAATAATTCTTGGTTTACGTTCCCTAGTGTATTCTACAATATTTATAATATGTAAGAATATAAAAATTTGAATGGGTATATTATATAAATATATATATTATATATATATATCAGTTACTCATTAATATTGACCACATAATGTTATTAGTAAACAATTAATATTATATGTACTCGTTTGTATAAATATGTTTGACTTCATTAAAAAGTTATCAGTAAATTAATATATTTGTACATTTATAACAGTTTTGGAAAATAATACATCTTAGAACAATTACAGTATCAAAGAGCCCATCTAAATTATTATTCAACTTAATTAAAATTAAATAATTACTTCATCATACAAATATAGCATTGTCATAAAATGTTTGCATTAATACTTGATGTTTGTAATTTATTCTAGACTAGAAATTTACATATTAACATTGTAAACCTATCTTTATATTATTAAAATTAAATATAATTCTTGGAAAAAGTTAAGTCAATTCTAAGTAATTAAATTATTTTTAACAACCTACATTTCATAATAATAAATAATTTATCAGTTCGGTAGAAGATTTAGATAATAAAAATAAAAGAAAAATTAAAAACTAAAAAGTTTACGACGTAAAAAAAATAATATTTTAGTATATATTTTTACTTCTTTTTTTATCTTTTTTTTTTTAGACTGTAAATAATCAAATTATAATACCTAAAATTAAAAATACCATGTTCACAAAAATTAATTGATTTTGGAGGAAATTTAGTAAACATTGAATTCATTAAAATTAAAATAAATCCTGAAACTTAAAAGCAGAAAAATAATCAATATTATTAATATATATATATATATACAGTAGCATTTTTTGAAGTATACAAGTTTACGAACTACGAAATTATAATCAATATTTATGAAAACTTAAAATTATAACTTGTAATTTTACAATTGCAATTACTATAACATGAACAAATAATCACAGTTAATTAAAATACTTATTCATATTAAACTTATACATTACAAATTTAAATTTAATTTTACTAAAATAATTTTGTGATTGTATTGTTTTGAATTTTCATCCAGCAAAAATTACCATTTTATCAGAATTTGGCCAAGAATTTTAATATTTTTTGGATATGTTGTTATAATTATCTTGAAACATAACGAAAAATACATTTATGCTGAAGTTATTTTATTAGTTATATTCATTATAGTAGGTTTGTTCATTTTTTGATTTTAATTTTTAAATAAATGAACATTATGATAAAAATTTATATTGTGTATTATCATTTATTAAAGTATAAAAAACGAATTAATTTATGATAACCACATAATTTAATGTGGGACATATTAATTACATATATATTATACATAATATGTTTATATTATATATAAATTACGTGGTTCCTATAGATTTTTAAATAAGTTTTTTAATTTTCGCGTTAGTTACTTCCAATAACCGAATGTTTTAAAAAATAAATCAATGAAGTCCTAGTTCATTATTCTACAATCATACATCTGAATACAATATACAATTCTTTATTTTAATTAGTGACTAGATGTATTTGTCTATAATACAACTTTAAGATTACAATCAAACTTGAATTTCACCATACTCTATTTAATTTATATATATAATTAATTGTACTCAATAGATATAATCAGAATAAAGCATGTTATACATTATTTATTTATTGTACGTAACTCTGAATGATGCTATGTCTATCCCGGAAAATTTTCTTGTATACAAATGCTACGTGACCTTATTTGAAAATTATATTATTCTACAAAGTTGCACGGCTTTATGATCCAAATATTATAGACCACAAAGGTACATGGGTATATTACAGGAAATGTGTATTTCATTCTTGTAGAAAAAATAATGGATATATTATTTGTTTGAATATATTTGCATTATATGTTTTATTAATTTAGAAAGTTCGTTTCCGTAAAAAAATGTTAATTTCGTATTATTTTTATTAATTTACAGTTGAAATTTAAAAGTGTTTACTTTTTTGTGTGTTTAATAACTACGATAACGTGTAGCCTATATTGTTAGCAACTCAAGAGACACGTTGATCACTCAGTATGGAAACTTAGGACAATAGCATTTACGTGTACTATATTTCTTGAAAGCAGTTCCGTCAAAGAGAAAGAGAAAAAAGAAAAATGCATATAAATCCTCTGAGAAATATATTCTATTGAACGAGATTGTAACAGTGCAAATGAGAATAAGGCCGTTATGAATTAAAAAAAAAAAAAAAAAAAAAAAAAAAACAATGTGGTTGAAAATTATTAATCCTTTCTTTCTACATTAAAAGAAAATATAACATTTTAAATTTTAAAATGACAAAGTTTACGCATCACTTAAAACAATTTTTTACTAATTTTTGTTGCTGATTATTCTTTGAATTCGACTATGTAGCGCGTGTAAACACTGTTAAGTCGGTATAACAACCATTAAATCATCACATCCGTATTAAAGACATATTGTAGACTGTACTGTAAATGCTGTCCAGTCACATTTTCGAAAAAAAATATCAAAATATAAATTCATAAGCGATTGAAATATGTTTTTCGTTTTCCTTGTTCGAAATTGAACAAGCCAATTTGTTAGCTTTGTCATAACCACTGCTATCTCAACGCAAATACCATACCATGAATAATGGTCCTTACTTAGGTAATATATATTTAAGATTTTATACTGTAAAGGTTGATTATTAATATTCTAAATCCAATTTTCGTGAGATTTTAAACATTAAATATTAGTCAAGGTTGTAGTCTCTTCTGTATTACAAAATAAAATCCGTATTATAAATCACATGTTACATACAAGTAATACTTATATGTATATAATATTTCTAACAATTATTTATGTTTACCAATATCATATTTAGGTTTAACTGAGGCAAAATAAACATTATTTTCTTATTTCTAAAGCATTCACAGAAGTCCTGCGTTAAGGAACTATTATAATATAAACCATGTTAGTTTTCTTTTATTTTCTCATAAAATAATTTTATTTTTATTATTCCTTCCACTAACAGTATAACATATATTGTGATTAAGTAAAAGCCACAGGCATCATATTTCAAGAAAAAATAGTAGTATATAATAATAAATTCATAATACTAACAAATAGTATGTTCCGTAAATACAATTATATAACTTCAACACAAACATATTAAAAGGTTTTTTTACAAAAAAAAAAAAAAGTTGATTATGTCAGAATATTTATTGATAAACAATGGCGTAGGTATTGGGGGGGGGGCACCCCGGATGGCACTTTTTAGAGGGCGGCAAAATTTCACAGTAAATAATAAAATATATTTTGTAAATATTTGAAACATATCATATTTTTAACGCAACCATAAATTCGGACCGAATGAAAAGAGCACGGAATTTTTCATTACTTATTTTGTGACGAATTCGGGAATTTCCTTTCTTTGAATGATATTTTGTGCTTGGATTGTTTATGACTTATAATCAGCGAGAATGACTTTTATTACATATATATTAAGTTCAATATTGTTTATTACGTCCCTTTAAGAAAGTACGTGATGCTTTAACAATTCAAAGAAAGTTTTATTTATGGATCTTCAGTTATTTAGTTCACACTGTTTCGTAACTGTGATTTTTGTGCAAATAAGTACGTGTAGTGGTTATGAAATTATTGGATAATTTTGTAAAAATTTGAATTTTCCGCTAAGTTTACCTACATTCAACTGTGTGAGTATTAAATATTTTATTTATGTAATTGTATGTTGGACTATCTAATATATTGTTCAAGCTTTAATTTATTAAAATCCGACCATGTATGAGTTTTACATTCGCATACCTTGGGTTCCGAACAAATATTTACGGTTTTCAGATTTTTGCTTATAGATAGATGTGGTGTAAAATATATCTAGTTTTTGAAACGCGTGATAGTTTCTTTTGTAACTCTAACATTTATCATTACAATTTTTTTTTTTATTTTAGCATCAAAAATGAGAAGAAAAAAAATTGGCACGGAATAAGATAGTAATAATAGTTATAAATATCTCTAAGTAGATTCTATTATCTATTTAAAATTAGGATTCACCTCAACGATCTCATGATTAAATAATACCTTTTTATATAGGCGCAACTAAGGTAAAATATCTTGGGGGATTACAGCCCTCCTATCAAAACTTAAAATAATCTGTAGATCACCCCTACTCTTATATACTATGTTAATATAGGTAATTTAGTTGAATTTACTACAATGTGTTTTTTTGTATATGACACTAGTTCTTGCCGAAATTTTCTCTAGAATAAATGTATATAATGTATAGTATACATTAAATTGAAATACCTAATTAAGAAGGCGGCAAAATTTTCTTTCACTCCGGGTAGCCGATACCCACGCTACACTACTGTTGATAAAATACTTGAATGATAGTTAATAGTTTATTTTTACTTATATTTATATAAGTTCTGTTTGGCATCTGAATACATCTTATTAAATTCTATTCAATTTTGAACGAATAAGTAATAAATAACGAATTCGTATAATTCGTAGTTATTACATATAAATACATACTCGCATATATATATACATGTTACGGGAAATATGGAATACTGGGAAATGTACACATTGCTCGGGCAATTTGGTCCTGCCCGAGAGATTTAAACCACAAGTATAAATAAATAATTATAAAACACAAAGAATTTTCAAAAGCACGAAAACTTGACTGATTATATCGTAATATATATCGTAAATATCAATTGTTTTTCATATATTGCTGTATGATTGCATCGACATAACTATTACTTTTATCAATGTGATTTGACATTAAATATGACTTAGAATAATATAAATAGTGAGTAATAAATATTATACTGATA